TCAATCAATCAATCAATCAATCAATCAATCAATCAATCGATCAATTGATCAATCAATCAATCAATCAATCAATCAATCATCTAATCAAATCATCAATCAATCAATCAAACCATGAAACAATCAATCAATCAATCAATCAATCGATCAATCAATCAATCAATCAATCAATCAAACCATCAATCAATCAATCAAACCATGAAACAATCAATCAATCAATCAATCAATCCATCAATCAATCAAACAATCAATTAATCCATCCATCCATCCATCAATCAATCAACCAATCAACCAATCAAGATCTTCAGTGATTGATTGATCGACTGAATGATTGATTGACTGTTTGAAAAAAACGGTCAATCAATCAACCAATCGATCAATCAATCAATCAAGATCTTGATTGATTGATTGATTGATTGATTGATTGATTGATTGGTTGGTGATTGATTGCTTGATTGATGGATTGATTAATGGATTGATTGATTGATGGTTTGATTGATTGATTTATGGTTTGATTGATTGATTGATTGATTGGTTGGTTGGTTGATTGAGCCGAGAGAGAGAGAGAGAGAGAGAGAGATAGAGAGAGAGAGAGAGAGAAAGAGAGAGAGAGAGAGGGAGAGAGAGAAAGAGAGAGAGAGAGAGAGATTTTTTATTTTATTTTTGGCTTTTTTTTGCATTGCACTCATCCTTTTTTTTTTTTTTTTTGGTGGTGCAGGKGCCATCATCGACCGATCAGCGGTGCCGGTGGATCCCGCCGACTATGGTGCACATCGAGATACGCACCTGCTGATGAAAGGCGAACGGGGCAGAATGCTGCCCCGAAGTCGGTCGACGGGTGTTCAACGGGTGTTCAACGAGTGTTCAACGGGTGTTCAACGAGTGTTCAACGGGTGTTCGAGGGGGTAGAACGGGGTGCAACAGGGTTCGACGACGTTCGAACGGGGGGGTTCGACGACATCGAACGCAGGCTTGGCGGTTGGTGAAACGGGGCGGGGGTTGGGACAGGGCAGGCCGGGTATACGACCTTGGGTGTGGCGTCGCCGGGGGGGCGGGGTTGGGTTGGGTTGAGCTGCACAAGGGGAGGCGCTTACGATCAGACTGGCGCGACTTTGAGGGGGGTTCACAATGCCGCGAAAACAGACGCGCGAACATGAGCCTGCACCCGAACATGTGCAACAACCTACAGGATTACAAGCGCAAATCTGTTGTGTACTGTTACATTGTTGTCGGCCAGAAGGTCGACAACAGGGGGGTTAACATGCTACGGTGCACCTCCTGCAATAAGGTGTTTAAGGGAACCCAATACTACGCAACGAAACACTTCACTCAACCGAACTATTGCAAGAAGGTGTCCGACGATGCATTGTACCAGATTGCGCAGAAATGCACACACCGCTTCGAGGTCGATCAGGTAGAGAGTGTGTGGTGGTTCGTATACGAGTGTGGTCTCGATGTCCCACGGTCTGCTGTGATGGGTGACGAGGCAGAGCGTCCTGCACAGGCCGTGGGCGAGGGGGAGGATACCTAGCATTCTGCGGAGGGAGGTGCTGTGAGAGATGGGGAAGGTGGGGGTGTCGTAGAGGAGGACGAGGCGGACTTCGACCTCGAGGTTGGCATGGCTGAGGGGGAGTGGACACCGAGGGGAGAGGGTGGCGTGCCCGAGTTCGATCCGGTGCCTCGTCAGAGGACGGTGGACTAGGAGCGGAGCTACGGGAAGAAGCCCGTCTCGCTTGAGACGGCATGCACGCTGAGTTCTTCGAAGAGTGTTGTTTCTGACACAACATGCACGCCGGGTTCTTCGAAGAGGAAGGACGGGGGTGCACATCTTTCTGCCACCAACGCCGGGAAGAGGTTGCGGCAGCAGAAGATGACGGACACGTATGGTGGCGAGTGGATTGGTCGGTGGAGGAAGACATTTTGTCGCTGGGCGTATTCAAGCGGGATTGCCTTCAATGCCTTCTACAACACGCCGTGGAGGGACCTCCAACAGGTTGCTCTTCATCAACCTGGTGGAGCACCTCTTCTCGGGCTTCCCTCCCAGTGCTCCCACAGTGAGATCGCAAGCATGCGAGTTGTAGAGATCCACCGCGAGGAGTTGGCAGAGGAGTTGGAGGAGGTGAGGCAGCCATTATGGGTGGGTGGCGCCACCCTCCTCTCTGACGGGAGGAAGTCACGAGACGGGTGACCGATCGCGAACTTCCTTGCAACTGGGTCTCGAGGGGTCGTCATGTACACGACTATCAACCAAGAGGGCGATCCGGACGATGCGACGCACGTTCTGCTGAGATGGGTCGCCATCTTTCACGGTTTCAGGTTTGGTGGCTCACAATGGGTCAATGCTATATGCACTGACTCCGCCTCTGCGTACGTGGGGGCTGCGAGGGCTTTGGCCTCGGCAGCTATGCCCCCTGAGCTGAGGAGGATCACTTGGCTCCCGTGCTGCGTCCATGTCTGCAACAAGTTGTTATCAGACATTGGCACGATTTGCACCTCTTTCGTGGACATGATCACACGTGTCCGAGTTCTGGTGGTGTTTTTCAAAACCCACCAGGCCGCTCTCAGCTTCTTGTGGAAGCGCAGCGGGGCGTTGGGGCTCATGCTTTTATGCGAGACGCGATTTGCGTCCATGTACTCCATGTTGGAGAGGCTGCTAGCTCTGGACGATCGTTTGCAGGGCATGATGACAGCGGAGGACGGGCGGGCTTGGGCTAGGCTCCCGTGGTCCCCCGACGTCGCGACATGGCACGTTGGGTGCGCCGACAGATCAGGTGGTCCCCTTGGTGGGAGAGGATGCGTGCCATCACGCACGTCATGGATCCGGTCATGGACTTGCTGAGGCGGATGGACCGTGGCAGGCAGTTCATGTCCCTCGTTGTAGAGTGGAGTCGGGATCTTGCACGCTTCGTGCGGGACGCTTGCATCCCTCTTGGCCAGTCATTTTGTAACCGTGTCATGAGGCGTGTGAAGGCCCGTATATAGCACATGATGGAGCCTGCACACTGCGCCTCGTTCTTACTGGACCCTTGTCACCGGGATGTTCAGTACTTCTCCGCACAACTCAACCAGTACCACAGTTGGCTTGTTCGACAAGCCAAGAGTTATCTGTTGTATCAGACAGGCTACGATGAGTCGGGTGGTCGTTACCTTGAGGTATGTTGGCATTTCGAGGACTTCCACATGCAGCAGGGTAGGTATGGGACATGGGGCGGGGGAGAGGGCCGCGCTCGAGCGCGTAGTTGCAACGGAGACTGCGAGACGTTGGAGTGTGCGTCATGGTGGTCTCAGTACGGGGGAGACGCGCCCGATTTACATTATTGCGCCCTTCGTTTGATGCACATGTGGTCCTGCGCCTCTCCAGCGGAGAGGAACTGGGCGGTCCACAAGGGCATCCATACGAAGAAGCGCAATCAGTTGGCCTTCAAGAACGTCGTTCATCTTGTTGAGATCACCACAAATGTGCGGTTGATGGAGTATAGACGTGCAGGTTGTGGATAAGTCCTCCCTTGGCAACGAGACGAGGGCATGTTTGACGCTCAGGCGGGATTGGAGTTGGAGCCTGTACGCTCGGGGACGAGGAGTGGGATGACGGAGGAGGAGATCGAGGAGCAGGCTGCCCTCATTACTCACGATCTCATAGGGTCCTCTGCACCGCCCCCTGTCGAGTCTGTTTTCGGTACTCGTGCAGCTATCTTCCGCCCATACCCCAGGGACGATGCCTCTGAGGATGAGAGGGAGCCGGAAGCAGCAGACGACCCTATGCTTCCCGTCCCGCGCGAGATTGACGAGTTGCACGAGGAGGGCAACGTGGGTGACGAGAGGATGCACATCGCGCGGGGGGCGGCAGAGCAGGGAGACATACGTATGATGGGGGGCGAGGAGCTCTAGGATCTTTCACGGGCACGAAGGAGAGATCACCCACTACCGCGCGGGAGAATACGCGTCCTCGCACGACCTTGCGGGAGGAGACGCCTGCTCCAATGACTGCGAGTGAGGAGCCGCGTCCTACCACGACAACGTGGGAACGGAAGAATGCTCCCTCGACCGCACAGGAGCAGACACCTTCTCCCACGACCATGCGGGAGCAGACGAGTACTCCCGCGACGCAGTCCGGACCCTCGTTGTCGTTGCCTCTTTCTCGTCATTTTATCCCAGCATCCGCTCCGACCGCTCCCGTTCGGCACGACGAGTGCTCACCTGCACCGGTTGGGAGGGAGGACTTGGGATCCTCATTGCGCATGTGCGGGCATGGATCATTGTTTAGCGTAGCCCGTCAGCTCGTTTTGGACCCTCATGCATCGAGGGACTTGGGGGAGGTGGGTGTTCATAGCGGGGCACCACTGGTGGAGGAGAGGGAGAGACGAGCGGAGCAGCACGGAGCCGCCGGAGCGGGCGGAGTTGAGGGTATTCAGGGTATGGAGGAGGAGGTTGCTGGAGCAGTGGGGGGCGTGGTGGATGTAGCTGATGGTGCGCACATCGAGAGAGAGGAGGTCATGGTGAGGGTGCATGATGGTGAGCAGGTTGAGAGAGTGGAGGGCGTGCTGCCGTCGGAGGTTGAGAGAGAGGAGGATGTGGTGAGGACGCAGGTTGAGAGAGAGGCGGGCGTGGCAGGGGTAGATGATGGTGATGCCAGTGTGCAGGTTGAGATGGAGGAGGACGTGGTGAGGGCAGATGCTGCTGTGTTGGTTGGGGAAGAGGAGGGCGTGGTAGGGGGGGGCGTCGCCCATGGTAGAGGAGAGGGAGGCGACCACCTTTACCCGATCGTCCAGTGTTTCGTCAATGACGAGATGGGTCCCGCACTAGCGGGTTTGACCCCGGGCACGAGGAGGGCACTGGGATGTCACCATTAGGACAGAGAGGGGCGTCAGGGTTGGGGATCCGGGATTTCATGGAGATGTCGTTGGGGGATCCTCCCAGCCCTCGTCACGCAGAGAGAGAGGATATGGCGCATGCCCTAGCGGCCGCCGGCTACTCCACAGAGGGATCGAGCAGGCATTCGCAGGACACTCCAGGAGAGAGACAAACACGCTTCAGCAGGGGTGCGGGGAGGTAGGAGAGCAGCCTCAGGAGGAGCGTGACGATGCACCCCCTGGAGATATCCCCGGAGGTAGCGGTTCGTTGGTACGGTTCACGGGCCTGCACGTGACGACGATGACGCAGCCTGTTCGACCGTGTGTGCAGGGGTCAGGTCCTGGGAAGGTGGCATCTATTGAGGTACCACTGGTTATAGTCGTGGATTTAGGATCTGAGCCAGCGCTTCAGACACCTGTTAGTGGGTGGCGAGCTCCTCAGGATACAGCTCGCCCATTGGATTTGGCGAACCTCGCACGGGCTGATGTGCGTGACGTCACACAGCAGGAGGACACCGACCCTGGCAGACCACTCATGCCACCTCCTCCTCCGAGATCACGTCACAGCGATTCCCCCTCGACACTAGTACGTCCACCCCCCCCTTCACCATCCACGCCCGCCAGACCCAGGGTTCTTGACACGACGGTCGTAGGGAGCCTCCCTCTTGCCACGTCGCTATTCGGGAGGACGGATATTGACCTGGACTCCACGCGTCGGGTCACAGTGCACACTGCACGACACCAGCCAGGCTTGGGTGGGGCTGACACCGGGAGGGGTGCGCCGAGGGAGGTCATGGCGGCAGTATCTCAGCCACGACATGTTCGTGGGGGCTATGAAACACCCACGGACGTGTCCGCGGGGTCGAGCTCGGATGGCGGCCGTATATACGGCCGCATCCGCGGCCAACCTCGTCCGCGCCATGGACGTGAATTTACCATATTTTTCTTGAATTAAATAATGGGTAAAAATATATATATATATATGGAGTTGTAGGAATTTTTAATCCCTACAACCCCATACTTTTTTTTTTGGAAACAGATAAGTTTTTATAATTAAAAAAAAAAAAAAAAAAAAAAAAA